CACATTGTTGAAATGAGCTAGGCCATCAGTAAAAGATCACTGTCTGGAGATCAAACTAAGTTCCTTCAAAACCTATACATGCCTCAGCTGGGCCTTTTCCATGCCATGTAAAGCATAACAGCCACTGGTAATTGTTTCTTACTCTCAAACTGAAGGACACTTTTCAAACATGTCCTAAATAATCTCCAGTGCACGTGTGTGTGTGGATTTTCATTGTTCGCTTCGCAGTTTTAACTTCCATTTTGAGATGAAGAAAGAAAGTTATGTGTAAATAATATTACTGGTTGGTATGCACTGGTATATAGCTATATCAGCCAAACATTGTTATCGACAAATAAGGCAACATTTACTGATGGCACTGGCCCACGTCTCTGTTTGCCATTGTATATGATTGTTTATTTCCTACTGTGGTTTGTTATGACTTATTTGCCTGTTTGTAGGCCGGGGTTTTTGCCCATGAACAAACACTGGGAAAAAGCCTTCACGTGTAGGAGGTACCGATCTGAAACCTTGCCATTAGTCAGATGAAAAATGAATCCTTCTCAGTTACTTTCTTCCTCTGCCTGTCTCCTCTCTTTCAAACATAAATCCAGCTGGCTCTCTGACTGCACCCAAAGGAAAAACGCCAAAGACCTTTACTTCCTTCATTCTTTTTGTTTTTCACAACTTCTTTGGCTTTGTCCTTTTCCTATTGTGCTACTAACATCCCCCTCAATTGCCTCGTTTCTACGGCCTCCTCACAGATATCTCCAATGATGGTCCTGACAGATATATATTTTCATGACTGCTGTGACTGACACGCAAGCTGAGCTTTTCTGTTTACATACATGTAAAATGTAGGTACAGGCAAAACAGCATGCTAATGCCAAAGCTGTACTCCACGTCTCAACAGCACAGATCTTAGGCCACAGGACACAAACACCTTCTGCTAAAAAATACAGAAAAGACTATTTTAGCCTCACTGACAACTGCAGCATTTTGAGATATTTATATTTTTCATATAAGAGCTGGTGTGCAGCTTTTGCAACACACACATCAAGTTAAAGGATGCTCTGAGGAGACCATTACTCATAATGAAAGCCACTGTAGCTTCATCAGTCACCTGGTGCCAGGTTAGTCACAACTACTGGGTCATTCTAAAGTCGATTCAGCACAAACACTGACAGGGAACAACTGTTTGATTAAAGCTACATACCGCTCAGAAAGCCAAACAGAAACATAGGCAGCCACCTGCCACAGTTCTGGGCAGCAGGCTCTGAGGAATTTATTTAAAATCTAAAGGGAAATCGATCGTGTGGAAAAAAGTTCCCCAGAGATTCCTCAGCAACTGTGGGTACACTAAAAGGAAGAGACATCCCAGAACAAACTGCTTATGAATGATACCATTAATCATTACTAGCCAAGGTTAAGGGCAACACTGATGCAGCTGATCCTGTGAATGCAGATAAACTGCTAACACACTTTACCAATCACTACAGGGAAAACAAACAAACAAAACACTACTTTAGGTTGATAATTATTTTAAAAAAGGATGATTAAACCATGTTAACCACAAAACTGCCTATTAATCTCAAAGCTTACAGGGAACACTGTCATCAACAGTGTCTCCATTTTTTCTCCTCAGATTGAATTAAAGGTAGACGTAGCTACTATGACATCATCCACTGGTTTGTGAAGTCCTGTTTTAACTCTTTTCCACATAAAGACGACATTTAACGACCTCATCCGTACCCTTAATGGTGAGTTTCGATACCTCAGTATATATCAATAAACCCGATGACCTCACTAATGATGCAAACTCAGTCATTTTGTTCTATAAGCAGGCCTGAAATATGACAGAATACGCTCCGTTCAGAAAAGAGCTTCAAGGGTTACTCGTAATAAGAGTGAAAGCCTCGAGCCGAGTGTTTTCGCCTTGTCATATCTGGTTGGTGTTTTGAAAAGCGATGTGACAAGCGAGGGGTGAGTCTGACAGTGACACCGCAGGCTCAATAAGCACACCGTGTGTGATCCTCCTTTCTGAAAATTAGAATACCCAAAATTTACTAAATGGAGTTTATGTTGTATCGAAGATATGAGCGACTGAGCTCATTATGTCATCAGGAAAGTGTTTACAGAGGTCAAGCCTGAGGTCTGTTTTCCCGTAAACTTCTGCAGAACCGGAAAACACTGGTATCGGGGCCCTTGTGGCCATTGTTCACACATTCTCACTTACACACAGTTATATATATTTACTCCCATAAATCAAGGCAGAATATAATCAACCAGTTGGGGAATATTACCTATTATACAAACCCTCCTGTGTACTATTGGTCAACAGCGGAAAACACCAGCCCACGTAGCCATTTGAAAAAAAAAGAAAGAAAAGGCTTAAGGTACTTCTCAGTTGGTTTCACTTTTCAGGCCTGGAAGCCTTATTAATTTAATTTTTTAAACTCTGTTTTCTATGCAGCAATAGTTTATCAGAATCAGAATAGTATAGAATATCAAGTTTAGCTGGATGTTTTCTTAGTGCAAACAGTGTTACAGTTTTATGCCTGAGAAAATGTACTCAAATAAACTGTAAAGAATACAGTTATCTGGAATATGAATGAAAAGATGGGGGTTATGTACTCTTTTCTCTTACCTGATGATACTTATTACACTAATCCATATTTATGCAATGGTATGATGATCAAAGAGTTGATGATAGAAGTGACCTTCACACAAGCATCATGGACCTCAACCAAAGCTCGTGGCAGTGACTGTTCAGTTCAGTCTAGTCCAGGCTTGGGGGTTTGACGTGGCCTAGACTTGGGAGTTAAGATGGGGAGTCAGTGAGCTGGCTATGAGATCAGATTAGCATGGCCTGAAGCCTCAGCATCTCATCTTGATGTAGCAGAGTTACAAAACACAGCAGGGATGGGTAAAACTACACGGGAGTCTACTGCTGCTGAACTAGACACACCAAATTAGTCTTTGAGAGCAGTCACCCGGGGAAGAAGGAGGATGCAAATTAAAACACAGCAAACTTGGACACACTCTGAACATCCATGTGATCCCACTAAAAAGTTCAGTGCGCACAAAGTGGCTGAATCACTGACGGGCTCGCCTTGCCAATGACATGCCAGAAAAACCTAGCTTGGGCTGTGAAAAAAAAAAATCCCCCTAGTTTTCATTGCATCTGCACCTGCGCTTGTGGTGACTGTGGTTAAGGTTCGTGAGCAGGCCTACACAAATGTCATTAATTTGGACTACATGTGTGTTTTCGAGGCTCTGTGGGTAAGGTATGCGCACTGACAGCTAGACGACGTGAATTTTTAGCATTTCATAGCGCCGCACGCCTGCTCTACAACAGACAGACACACACACACACACACACAGTGAGGTATGAAGTCACCCGGGTATGACACACCGTGGCCGCAGCACTGTTGGCACTCGGTGCTTTAACACAGTCAGAAACCATCGGTTTACACAGCTAAAGTTACACCAGCATTAACGACATCTGACTTCCCAAAACCTCAGTAAAGGTACGAAGTTAGCAGGGCCTACACTACCATTGTTTTTCAATTCTGTGGGCAGCAATGCGGTAGTCAGGCTGAACTGTAAGCTCCGGCGGACTAGAGAACGGGCAGCAGGAGGCAGCTGCTGCGGCGAGACCTACCTTCTCCCTTCGCCTCTCCCAGGGCACTCCCATGCATCGAAAATATAGATAAAACACTCCCCGAGTTCCTCAGGCACAACCTGGGCTTGGAAAAGTTGAAAAGGACGGTCGGCCCGGCTGTCACGACTGACAGACCTTCCTTTAGTTCCTAGCTAACTCCAGCGGCAGCACGGACGGACGGGTGCGGAGGAAGGGAACGCCACAACAAGCAGAGACCCAGCACAGGCATGACGTCATCACGCAGAGTTTACGTGGGCGCAAAGTTTTTTTTTCTTCGCCAAAACTTGGAAAACTTTTTCTTCTTCGTGTGATTGGTTAATGTAATAATGTATGTGTTTTGAAAAATTACAAAAAAACAAAATAATACTAATAATCCTATGAGGGCACAAATAAAGACACACAACATAAAATCATAACTAGCCATAAATATTAGAAAGTGAATGGGGATGTGGTGGGGGGAATGAACAGACAGGTAAATTTTTTGAACAGAATGCATTTTCAATTTATTGATTGGCAGTTCCCATTTGTCTATAAAGATACAGTATAAAACACAATCATAGTTAAAGACACAACTCCAATTTTACCAGTCTTGCCCATAATAATAATAAAAAAATCAGTCAAATACAGAATATTATTATTAGAATTATTATAAACCCATTCAACAACACACAAACAAAAAAGCAAAAGAAAACAATTATTATTAAAAGTTATGATATATTATTTGTTTTTTGCTGCATAAGTGCTCTTTAATTAATCGAAATGCTCAACCCCATAAGTAAGGAAGGGGTTTTTTTTTGGAGGGAGGGGGGCGGGGGAGGGGGAAATTGGATTTCTGTGAAACAGAACAGAAAGATGACATATTTTATATTAAGATGAAATTTAAAAAAAAACAAAGTTATGGGTTACTGGCCCACCAGGCACAGTGATTTTATGACTTTTCACGATATTGCAGCCTAGAGGTATGCAGTCCCCAGTGGACATACGAAACTCATAAAATAGAAATTCTGAATCAATCACCTCATGATTGTGTACATTCATAATGCACATTTGGTCCGCGTATTGCACAACTGTAAACACTTCAGTATACCATTTCAATGCTAAACTTCTTACACGGTTTTGGCTCATCTCGTGATTAGAAAAAGGCACAGCAGCTGTGTGAATGTCGTTTTCATAGATTGTTCTGCAAGGCCTCATCAAGTGATACCAAGGCCATTCTTCAGCAGTGTATTGGTCTGATTTCACATTTGGCTTTTTTTTCTTTTACAAGTTCATTGTACAATAGACAATAGCCCTCTCTACTCCCCCCACTTCAACACACACACAC